TGCTGCAAATATAACATACATTAAATAACCCCCATATAGCGTACATGAATCACCTTGTAGCAGATCTATACAGGTGGAGCTGGGGAAGGTGGAGGGTTTCTGAAGCAAGCTGCAACTGCTACGGCAAGCACTAGTCATATATTTGAATGTTGAGCAGCGAGCTCATTGGCTACCGATACAGGAGAGAACCAATCAGCTGTGCCATGTGATAATGATGTCATTAGGTCAGATTGAGTTAGACCTACTGGACTGTGCCATCTAGAGTTTCATGCCAGAACTCTGTTTATATATATATAGAATGTAAAAAAAATTCAATATATTAATTCATTCTACTACTTTTTAATCATCAAAGAAACCTGAAAAACATGCATCATGGTTTCCACAAAAATATTAAGCAGCACAATTGTTTTCAACATTGTTAATAATATGAAATGTTTCTTGAGCTACAAATCAGTATATTAGAATGATTTCTGAAGGATCATGTGACACTGAAGACTGGAGTAATGATGCTGAAAAATCAGCTTTGCATCACAGGAATAAATTACATGTTAAGATATATTCAATTAGAAAACAAGTTATTTTAAATTGTAATATTTCAGAAAATGTCTGTTTTTACTGTATGTTTGCATTAGAGACTTTCTTCAAAAACATTAAAAAATCTTACCGACCCAACCGTTTGTTCTGTAGTGTATATAGGGATGTTTTCTTGAGCCTTCTCGTCTTAGATACATGTAGTATGTTTACTTTGTCATCAAGGGCTTTTTCTTAATCTTACCTCAGATGTGGAGGTGGAAATGGCCTCGTTCGCTTGGATGCTTGGAAATAATTGTTTTCTGTTCTCCTGAGACTTTCTCGGTGCTATTGATTTGCTCGAGCTTTAAGTAAATGCCCCCAGAGCTGAAGTAAAGCTAGTTCACTGTGTACTGATCTTAAAAAAGACAGTTCAGTATGGTCACTGCTGGCTATCTAGCTGGTGCTTTAGTGACTGTTTTAGTGAGCCAATATACGTTACTCAATTTTGATTTTATGTTGACTTTACAGTAGGAAGTTGCTGATTTCACGTGATATCTCTTCTTTTTTCTAGCCTTTCATGTCATCCCGTTATCCTGGCGGCCCCAGACCTCCTCTCAGAATACCCAACCAGGTGCTTTTCCATTTCAGTTTAGTTTTAATACACAATGCCATCTCAATATAGAAATACAAACTCATAATGGAGTGATTGGAGCTTTAAATGTTTTATTGTAGTCTTGTCTAGTTGACCTGCTGTGAGTCATGCTAAGACTTTTCAGCCAAGACTAATATTTCCCTCAAATACATTTTTTTCCCTATTCCTGTCGCTTAAGGCTATACATTTTATTTCCAGTCAGACTGCATGAATGTGATATTTTGGGTCCTGATCTAATGTCATAGCCCAAGGGCACCTAATGGGCCTTATCTACTCCTGCTTGGAAGATGTTGACAAGTGTATGTTAATTTGTACTGTATCTTACTGGTTCAGGCGTTAGGTGGAGTCCCTGGAAACCAGCCGTTATTACCCAGTGGTATGGACCCATCAAGACAACAAGGTTTGCTTGCAATTAAACCTTACAATGTGAATCTCACAAAGAAATATTTGGGTCATATTTAACACCTGAATCAAAACGAAAAATAAATTATATTTTACGTAAAGAAAATGAAGCCTATTTTAGGACCATTTTGTCCATGATGACATTATCTTCATAACAATTAAGCACTTTTCCCCCAGAATTCTCATTATCGTAATGCGAAAAAAAAAAATCTCATTCTCATTATGGTAAATCTCATTCTCATTATGGTAATTCAGTAATGAAAATCAAGTCTGGACAAATGATTGTTTTATTTTTTAATCATCATAAATTAAATAATAATGTTGTTTTGTTTCATGTTATAATAATGAGAGCAATTGCTTGATGGTTAATTGTCATGAAAATATTATGATCCTAAATAAAAATAGGTCATTTATATATTATATATTCTATATTATTCTATATTAAATATCCACTTTTATTATTCTAATATGTATATTACTATAGTAATAGTGAATATTTAATATTACCGTATTAAATGCACATCATTAATATTATGTCAAAATATATTGTAATAGAAATGTAAATTGACAACATTAATTCAATATATATATATATATTACATTTCTTTTTGACATTTTTTGGGCATTTCTTGACCGCTTTCATGAGATTCAACTAATGCATTTACCACTAATTTCCATCTGATCATTTGATTGGACAGGTCATCCAAATATGGGCGGGGCTATGCAGAGAATGACTCCGCCCAGAGGGATGGTACCCCTTGGGCCACAGGTATGACCATCACACCCGTATGTTTTGATCTCTCTAGGGCTGCCCTCGACTAAGGATTTTTCTGGTCGATTAGTAGTCGTTCATTTTAAGCATTAGTCGACTAATCGCACGTTTATTAATAAACAATTTAAATCATTATAATGAGCCTTTAATTGCCTACATAGCCTAATAAGCGCTCAAGCACACGCATAAAGCTTGCCACAGCGCAC